TTCAAAACCCCCCCTCCTTTTTTTTTTTTAGCTGAATCCTTTTTTTCCTAAGCAAAATCTTACGCAAAAGCCCAAAAGCCCAAGACAAAAAAACTTTGGCTTAAGTGGGGTGGGATCCTGGATGGGTCCCATTGGCATTATTTTGCTCATGTGTCACTTTTACCCAGGTGGCCTTGAAGGGTCTCTGGAAGATGATTTGGGAAAATCAGAGCTCTCTGAAGACTGGTCCACACTGAGATTTTATGCTGTAATGGGGGAGTTCTGGCAGGTCCTGACCAGATCACTGAGATTGGTGTTACCTGAAGACTGCTCCATCTGGGTGGACAGTGGGGTTGGGAAGTGGAGACAAGCTGGTTAAGGGGCAGTTCTCTTAATGGGTGTGGGCAAGGGAAAGGGGAGGTCACTGGCCTCACTCAGCTGGTCTGCTGCTGCTTCCTTCAGGTACCAGTGAGGCATGGGCTGTGGCTGGCACTAGGAACTGGGGATCCAAGAGATGTTCCAAAATAGAATTTCAGGAAAAAAGAGTTGCATGTGGGGCATCAGGAGAAGAGAGGGGGTGATGGGCAGGAAGTGCACAGATGACAAGCACAGATGAAGTTTGGGGTGCTGGCTGGACTTTTGAGTGGGCAGAAGTGGGGCTGGAGACAAGGGTGTGGAGAACCTGAGATGGAGGTGAGAGTGGACGTGAGGAGCGGGAAGTGCCTTAAAGGTCGAGGGAATTGCTGTAGGATGACCCGATAAGGTGAGAATGGGGTCCATGGTTGCAGGCTCAGTGGAAGCAGAAACTCTTCATGTTGACTCGCCGGGGAGAAGGGGGCTGGGTGGGACCCCAGTGTGTGTGTGTGTGTGTCTCTCTCTCTTCTCCTTATAAATATTAGCCCTTCCTTCCTCTCTTACCTAGCAGGTGAGGGCTCCCCAGGCTAGGGGCAGAATGGAGGTGAAGGGGTGACAGCCAGACCAGGAAAGATTCCAGGTGGCTGCAGCCTGTTCTGTGCCCTGATACAGCCCTGGAAGGCCCTTCCTGCTCCTGTAGGGCAGAGCAGAGCAGAGCTACTCTTTCCACAGGTGTTGGAGGTGAGGTGGGAGTGTGGGTAATCCCTTATTAGGGACAGAGCACAGCAAGAAAAGAGCTACTAGAGATTTGGTCAGTGGCCCTGGGTTTCACCCCGTTGAGCCACCAGCTTTCTGTGTGACCTTGAGCAAGTGCCATATTTCTGAGCCTGTTTATTTATAAAATGGGGAAGAGTCTGCACAAATTCGAAAAGATTTCTCAGGCTCCACCCGATGCTGAAATTCGGTAATTTCCCACCAGAGTTCACTCAACCTGGAAGGGACTGTGGAGGGGACTGGTGAGAAATGTTCAGCGGGTGGAGTAGAGCCTACTGGCCCATCTTGGGCCTGGCAAACCCCCGCCCTCCAGAAGGTACTTTGCATAGGGAATTGGGGGTGGGGGTGGAGAATGAGGCTCTGACTGAGCCCTAGGGCAACCTCTCAGCCCGAGACGCTGCTGGGGAGACTCTGCAGGGCAAGGCTGGTCAAGTGCACAGGGCTGAGGTGGGGGCGCAGGTTCCTCAGGCGTGTCCCTGAGTTGCCCGCCCCAGTCCCAAGCCTCCAGGAAGGACTTGGGAGAGTGCGAGGCCGAGCGGGGCCAACGGAGAGGGAGGGAGCGGGCGCGGTCGGGGCTCCCGGAGCAGCTGGAGGGTGAGATCCTCGTCGGGGAAGCCCTGCGGCCGCGGCTCTAGAGCGCCCTCTCCTTGGGTTCTGGCCCTCCGGGCTGGTTATTTCGGACCTGGGGACCCCGGGCCGGGCCCTGGGTCGCGCTGGGGGAGCCTCAGGAGTCCACGAGCGGCTATTTTTAGCCGGCGCGGCAGCGCGAGGGAACTATTTATAGATCAAACGGTCCGCGCTCCCTGCGTCAATGGAACCCCGCGTGCGTCACCGGGGCAGACATTCCAGGCCCCCCTCTCGCTCCGCCCCCTCGGGCTCCCCGGCCCGCGCCGCCTCCCGCCGGAACCGCACCGCCCCCCGCGCCCTTGTATGGCCAGGGCTCGCGGGCCGTGCGTCAGAGGCGCCCCCGCCCCTCCCCGTGCGTCACGGAGCGCTTAAGAGGAGGGTCGGCTCCTCCGGGGAGCCCCAGTGGCGGAGGCTGCGAAAGTTGGGGAGCGTGCAGGACAGCAGGAGCGCGCTCGGCATCAAGCTTCAACTCGGGGCGCTGGTCCCGGGCTGGGGGAGCAGGAGCCGGCCGGGTAGGTACCCCCTCGGGGAGCATGCGGCTCGTCTGAGCTCTGTTTTGCCTTTTCGGAGTGTTGCGTGAAGGAGATGGGTATACGCGCGGGGAGAAAAGATGTTGTAGGGTCATCGTGCCGGAGGACGGGTGTAGGATGCAGCTCTGGTGCTGGCGGGGAGCGGTTGGAACGGGTCAAGGACCCATATTGGACTAGAGTCTACTGGGCACAGTGTAAAGGGGTTGGGGGGAGTGGCTGTGCAAGGTGGAAGCCTCAGGGGGTTAGGGTTGGCGCCAGGAGAGGGGACTCGTCCAGTAGGAAGCTGGCTGTAGTTCAGTCTCCCAGGGTGCTCAACTGGGCATATAGCCCCCTGGACTGAGGTGCTGGTGGGGTTCTCAGAACAGTGGGGGGAAAGGTACATAGAGCTTCAGCTGCTGGGATCCATCCGACTCCTACCAGGATTGGATTTCCAGAAGGGTCTCCTTCCTCCCAGTTTGTCAGCCCCCTCCCCATGCTCCTAGTAGTTTTCTTAACACTTTAGAGGCTATGGCTTAGTTTGCAGGGATACAGCCTGAAGTTTCTGCCTGAACTATGTTAGGAGACTTCTGGGTTGCCCAAGGAAATGGCCAGCGTTGGTGGCTGAACGGTGGAGGGGGTGCTGCTGCCTGCTGGAATAAGTCTTCTTGGGGCAGGAGGAGGGTCTCTGGAAGGGTTTAAGCTGTAGCTTGGATCCTGTGAGTGTGTGTGTGTGTGTGTGTGTATGTGTGTGCTGTGGAAACCCTTGTCCTTGGGAATCCTGGATGTCAGTTGCTAATGTTGGAGCTTCTGGTGTGGTACTGTCTGGAGGATACCCCCACCTCTCTACCCCCACAGTCCTAGTCGGATCTCACAGGTAGGGTGCAGCCTGAGGCAGGTTCAGCATAACAGGTGCAAGCCACATTGTTGCCAGGACCTGCCTGAAGCCGGATTCTCCCCCTCCCTCCTTCAACCCCGCCTCTTCCTCCTCCCTGTGGGATTTCGCTGTCGTCCCCACCCCCATGTGGGTCTATATCTTGTGCCATTAAGTACCTGCATGGGGGTGGGGGTATGGGTTGGTGGGGGTTGATCCGGATGTGGGACGTCCAAGTGGAGAAACAGGATTTGAATAAAGCTGGAACGCCCAGCCCTTCGAGGCTGCTGCCTCTCCTCCACCCCAAACCCATCCCTGCCCAGGCTCTCCTAGTGCAGGCAGACGTGGCCACCCTTATCTCTCACAGGTGCTGTGTGCCAGTGGACAGGTGCCACTGGGTGGGTGGGGCCAGAGCTTCCAGGGGCTCTGTTGTCTGGGTTGGTTGTGGGAGTGTTAGGTCAGGGGTGGTGCTACCCTGTCTAGGGCCCATGGAGGTGGGAGAAAAGCTAGAACTAGAGGACTCCTTGGGCTCTTGGCCAGGAGGTGGTGCCAGCCTTTGCCCCTTCCTGCTGTCCCTCTAGATTATGGTGCTCTGTTCCAGCTTGCTTTCTTACCCAGCTTCCCTCCCTGACTGGTGAGGCCAGAGCCGTGCAGACCCCAGGTATGGAGGTGGGATGGGAAACTGTCCTGGAGCCTCTTCTCTGTTAGTTTATTGAGCAGTCTGGGAATGTAAGGATCCCCCTGAGTGATGCTATCTCTGTTCCTTCAGGCTTCTTAGGATTGGGGCTGTAACCTCCTTTGTCTGAGCTCCTGAAGTTTTCAGAGCACAAATACTCTTTAGTGGAGGGACCCAGGCAGGGGCAGGATGTTTTCCACCCTCCCATCAACAGGCTCCTCCCTACATAGCTACCTCAAGTCTTCAGATGGACTCCAAGAATTCTCTTATAAAAATTACAGAGAAAAATGCTTTGGGGGTAGCAGAGAAATTCCTCTTAGGGACTGACCATTCTCCTGGACTTCCAAGGGGCTGTTCTCTTTTCCCTCCTGCCTCCCCTCAGCCTCTCTTCAGCATATGGCCTTTAAAGGTCTGGAGCCAGGTTACCCAACCCACTGGGGAGCTGGGGATGGGTTGAGGAGGCCTGGGCTCTCTTCCTCTTTGCCTCTGGGAGCATCCCAGGCAAGTGCAGAGTGGGTACCCATCTCCAGATGGCAGGAGCAGTGTGCGTGTGGGATCTGCAGACTTTGCTCAGAATGTAGGATGGGGGCAGGGTAGGAGACAGGTTCATTGCTGCTTAGGCCTCTTTCTGAGGCAGCGGGGCCTTCACTCCCAGCTCCTCTTCCATTTGCAGGATGTCCTTCCCAGGCACTGTGGGGGGAGGTGAGGGGGTTTTGCAGAGGCTAGGTGGTGCCTGGGAATAGTCCTAGAAGTGCCAGTTTGGAGAAATAGCATATCTGTTTCTGGGGACTGGGCTGAAACTGAGCCTGGCTGCCTCTCCCACCCACCCGTCTCCCAGTCCCCACCCATGCCTTACCCGGTGAGGGAGGGCAGGGCGCTGGAGGAACACAGCTTCCCCCTGTTCCAGCAGAGAAATTCTGGCTGGATGCCTTCCCTGGGGTTCCCAGGCTGACTGGGTGTGGCTGGCCATCTGACTGAGACCACTCTCGCTGGGCCTTTGCTCAGGGGCTTTTTGTGACAAGGCGGTAAAGATGGTGCTCTAGCTGGGGGCCAGGATTCCTGAGTTCTGTGGTGGGCTGTAACCCTGATGTCTCAGGATCCCATGTCTGGCTGGCATTCCTGCCACCTGGCTGCTTGGGGGTCTAAACTTAGAGGTCAGGCTTTTCAGGCTTCTCTCACTGACTCCCCCCTTGGTGTCTTCCCTCTCCAGAGATGCCCTGTATCCAAGCCCAATATGGGACACCAGCACCAAGCCCGGGACCCCGTGACCACCTGGCAAGCGATCCGCTGACCCCCGAGTTCAGCAAGCCCACCATGGACCTCGCCAGCCCTGAGGCGGCTCCCACTGCCCCCACTGCCCTGCCCAGCTTCAGCACCTTCATGGACGGCTACACAGGGGAGTTTGACACCTTCCTCTACCAGCTGCCGGGAACAGCCCAGCCACCCTCCTCTGCCTCCTCCTCTGCCTCCTCCACATCGTCGTCCTCAGCCACCTCCCCTGCCTCTGCTTCCTTCAAGTTCGAGGACTTCCAGGTGTACGGCTGCTACCCTGGCACCCTGAGCGGCCCGCTAGATGAGACCCTATCCTCCAGTGGCTCTGACTACTATGGCAGTCCCTGCTCAGCCCCGTCACCGCCCACGCCCGGCCTTCAGCCACCCCAACTCTCTCCCTGGGACGGCTCCTTTGGCCCCTTCTCACCCAACCAGACTTATGAAAGCCTGCGGGCATGGACAGAGCAGCTTCCCAAGGCTCCTGGGCCCCCCCAGCCACCGGCCTTCTTTTCCTTCAGTCCCCCCACCGGCCCCAGCCCCAGCCTGGCCCAGAGCCCTCTGAAGCTGTTCCCCTCGCAGGCCACCCACCAGCTGGTGGAGGGAGAGAGCTATTCCATGCCAACAGCTTTCCCAGGCCTGGTGCCCACGTCTCCACACCTTGATGGCCCAGGGATGCTGAATGTGCCTGTGACCTCAGCCAAGTCTCGGAGTGGGGCCCCAGGAGGAAGCGAGGGCCGCTGTGCTGTGTGTGGGGACAATGCTTCATGTCAGCATTACGGTGTCCGCACCTGCGAGGGCTGCAAGGGCTTCTTCAAGGTACTGGGCTGCCCTGGGTATGGCTTTTCATGAGAAGTGGGGATAGGCTGATCTCTCACCCCAGTGGGGTCTGTGGTAGCCTCCTGTGGGTTCTCCCAACTAGTCCTGCTTTTCAGGAAGGGGCAGCCGTTCCAGGTGGGTCCCAGGAAATGGCAAGGGGCTGGGACCTTTCATATACTAGGGCACACATAGCCAGTGGGTCTGCATTATGAAGGAGAGAGGGATGAGATACGGGCAGAGGGTGTGGGCTGCAGGGGTACCCAGGAGGGTATGTTCTAATGGCCAGCCTCTGGTTTTCCTCTGCCGGGCCTCCCCCCAATCAATGTCCTAGTGGGAAGGGGGCCCCAGGCACTCGTGTTCCTGGCATGAGATGAAAGGATCTGGGAAGAGGGCTTGGTGCTCGAGGGCTGGGGGTGGACTTGGGAACAGGCTGTGTGTTTGTCCCAGCTCTGGGTGCCTGCTTAGCTTCCCGTCACCCCCCAACCCCCACCCCTCTCTTGTCTGCCCCAAGGAAGGGACAGGCAGACACAGGCACATAAATACAGATGTCTGGGCTGTTAGAGAGCCCCTAGCCCCTAATCTGGTGTCTTGGGGGCCTTCCTCCTGATGCAGAAATCTTCCCCAATGCCCCCAAGACTTTTTCTGCCCCCCCTTCCATCTCTTCCTCCCCTGCCACCCAAATGTTAGAAAAATAGCTGTGAACAGAGTGCTTTTGTCTACGATGGCAGCAGCAGGATCTGGACGGTCCCCTCCCCTGGGCTCCCCCTCCCCACACACTCTGACAGCCTGTTCCGTGTTGTCCTCCCTCCAGCGCACAGTGCAGAAAAATGCCAAGTACATCTGCCTGGCTAACAAGGACTGCCCTGTGGACAAGAGGCGGCGAAACCGCTGCCAGTTCTGCCGCTTCCAGAAGTGCCTGGCAGTGGGCATGGTGAAGGAAGGTGGGTGGCTGGGCCTGGGCTGGTGGTACAGAGGCAGACCTGATGGGGTGGGGCAGGCAGTCCCCCAGGCATCTGTCCTGGTGGGCTGCAGGGGAGGGCACACCTGGACCGTATTTTTACCCCACCTCTGGTCCACCTGCCTTGCATATGGCGGGTAGTCTCTGTAGGGGCCCTTGGGTCTTGGGCTCTTGGTTCTTGGTGCTTCCCAGCATTGTTGTACATAGCTTGGGCTCAGAGGCCCTTTCCTGGGTCTCTTTCTCCTTTCCTTACCCCTGCCTTTTCTCTGCAGTTGTCCGGACAGACAGCCTGAAGGGGCGGCGGGGACGGCTCCCTTCAAAGCCCAGGCAGCCCCCAGATGCCTCCCCTGCCAATCTCCTCACCTCCCTGGTCCGGGCACACCTGGACTCAGGGCCCAGCATGGCTAAACTGGACTACTCCAAGGTGAGCCCTGCCAGCCCATATCCAGCGCCTTCATGCACATTAGAAAAGGCCCCTCCCCAGTTGTTGGACAAACTGAAAAAAGAGGAACCCCTGTAGGTTGACCAGATGGAAAAATGTACCCCCTTGGGTGGGTGGCCAATTAGAAAAATGTGCTCCTTCCAGTAGGCTCTGCCCTGAGTGAATATTTGAGAATTGGCAAGCACGAGGTGGGCGGAATCTCAGTTCCTCTCTCACCCCCGGCATCTGGCCTCTGATGCATGATGTAGCTGTACATGGTGGCCCTGGTCTGGGGCCCGGCATGAGGCGCTGACCTCACTAAACTGCCCCTTAGTTCCAGGAGCTAGTGCTGCCCCACTTTGGGAAGGAGGATGCCAGGGACGTGCAGCAGTTCTACGACCTGCTCTCAGGGTCCCTGGAGGTCATCCGCAAGTGGGCCGAGAAGATCCCTGGCTTCGCGGAGCTGTGCACAGGCGACCAGGACCTGTTGCTGGAGTCGGCCTTCCTGGAGCTCTTCATCCTTCGCCTGGCCTACCGGTGAGCTGCCTGCTGTCTGCCCAGCCCCTCCCTTGCTGCCCTGGCCCTGGAGCTCCCCTGACCATCTGCATCCCCACCCGGCAGGTCTAAGCCAGCGGAGGGGAAGCTCATCTTCTGCTCCGGCCTGGTGCTACACCGGCTACAGTGCACCCGAGGCTTCGGCGACTGGATCGATGGCATTCTGGCCTTCTCTCGGTCCCTGCACAGCTTGGTTGTTGATGTCCCTGCCTTCGCCTGCCTCTCCGCGCTTGTCCTCATCACAGGTGAGTGGCCAGTCCTGGGGGTTGGGGAGGGCTTGAAGGCCCTGGATGGGCTGGCATCTGACACTTCCTAGACCCTTACATTGTGAAGTGATGGTGACTAAGTGCAGAGAATGGCAAGCATTTGCTCAGAGCAGCACGGCTGGTGGGAGGCAGAGTTGGGGTTTGGGCCCAGCTGCATCTGACTACAAAGCCCAGGCCAGTCCGTGAATGATCCCAGGCGACCCAAGATTCAGACTGTGTAGGTGTTGTGTGTGGCCTACGGTTGCGGTTTCTTTTTAAAGTCTTGCTGAATTATGTTGCCTAATTGCACAAATGATGAATTTTCACAAACTTTATCACAAGCACTCTCACTTAACCAGCACCTAGGTCAATACACAGGTATGACCAATGACCAGTCCCCCAAAAGCCCTCCTTGTGCCCCTTCCAGTCATTGTCCGCCCCCTAAGGGCTACCTGTGCCTGTTGTGTGCTGTATGTAAATATTATTATGCAGGATGGGCTCTGGGTGTTAAATGTGAAGGTTTTCAGATCTCTCTGTTTTATTTTTTTATTTTTATTTTTTTTTAAGTTCTTTTTTTTCTTTTTAATATATCTTTATTGATTTGAGAGAGACAAAAGGAGAAGGAGAGAGAGATAGAAACATCAATGATGAGAGAGTCATTGATTGGCTGCCTCCTGCATGACCCCGGCCAGCGATGGAGCCCGCAACCCGGGCATGTGCCCTGACCGGGAATCGAACCCCGATTGCGTGGATCCTAGGCCGACACTCAACCGCTGAGCCATGCCCGGCCGGGCTCTGTTTTATTTTTTAAAGCACCGGAATCTGCCCCCATACCATTTTTACTTAAATTTCACAGGGGACCCAGGTACATAGCATGGAATCTGAAGTTCTCTGGGCCAAAGAGGGAGCGGTTGGTTTGGAGGCCAGCTTTCCCTGGAGGTGGCCTCTGGGACACCACTGCTCAACTTCAGAGCTTCTTGGAACAGTTTGGGAAAAAAAACACTGGCCTAGACAGAAAACTTGGCTAGTATTTCCTTTTTTGTGACCTTGGGCAAGTCATTTAACCTCTCTGGGCCTCAGTTTCTCCCCTGGGAAGAGGAGGATAATGAGTGTTACTGCCTTCTTAGACTTCTGATAAGGCTCCAAAATGGCCTCGTGTGTTTCATGCTTTTGCAAAGTGCCAGAGGAGTGTGAGGGATGGTCAGTGGCAGCAGTTTTGGAGGCCTGGGAGAGGCCAGGTTTTGGAAGGGTCCAGTCCTCAGATGGGTGGTTAATCCTGTATCTTCCTCACAGACCGGCACGGGCTGCAGGAGCCTCGGCGGGTGGAGGAGCTGCAGAACCGCATCGCCAGCTGCCTGAAGGAGCACATCTCTGCTGTGGCGGGCGAGCCCCAGCCGGCCAGCTGCCTGTCCCGCCTGCTGGGCAAGCTGCCTGAGCTACGGACCCTATGCACCCAGGGCCTGCAGCGAATCTTCTACCTCAAGCTGGAGGACTTGGTGCCCCCTCCACCCATCGTGGACAAGATCTTTATGGAGACGCTGCCCTTCTGACACCGGCCTGGGAACACGTGTGCACTGTGTATGCACACTCGTACGCCACCCCACGTGCCTTGAGCCCATGGCCCTTGGATCCCTGGAGCGCGCCCCCCACCCTTGGGCTGGAGCTGCAGACTAACTGACCTCACGTGCTCTTAGAGGTCACCCCCTGGGGGAGGGGGATGCATTCATGAGGGAGACCCCTACTATTTGTCTTACCCCCATCCCAGCCCTGGCCTTCGTGTTTTTGTAAGATAAACCATTTTTAACACACACTGCTGTGCTGTAAATAAGCCAAATTCTGCTGTAAATACAGGAAGGAAGAGGTTGAGGTTGGGGGCGGGGCGGTTGAGAGGGAGGGATGGAACCCACCAGCCTGGGCAAAGCCTTTCCCAGCCTCTTCCTACTGGCTCTCTCTTCCCACCTCCTTCCACATGTACATAAACTCACTCTAGGAGGAAGACAAATGACAGATTCTGACATTTATATTTGTGTATTTTCCCGGATTTATAGTATGTGACTTTTCTGATTAATATATTTAATATATTGAATAAAAAAATAGACATGTAGCTGAAACTGGGATCCTGTCTATCTCTGACCCCTCCCCCCGCCCCATAATTTCATAAGAGACAGGTGACTGGATAAATCTTGAATGTTACCAACCTAAGCTAACAGGCCTCAGTTTAACTCTTTTGTAAAAGGTGAATAATAATGGCATCTGCTCCGTGGGGTGTTATGCAAAAGCACTTGGACTAGATCTGACACTAGAAAGCCTCCAATCATCCCTTCTGCGGATGGGGCCTGCAGCGGAGGCCAACTGGCCAAGAAATAAGAGCATCACAGTCCTAACCTGGGGCAATGATCTCTGACTTGGCTTCCACATCTGTAAAACAGAGAGGGGTGTAACTTACCTCCTGTTGCTGCTGGAATTCCAGGAGTGTGGGTGTGGTGCTTAGCATGGCCTGGGTACCAGGCAGCCCAGAATGATGGCAGCAGCTCTTACTCAATATATGTTTTTTCCCATCCTCCCCACATGCCTCACACCCCAGCACCAGGACCCAGGTTGCCGGCAGGCCTTGGCTTCTTGGCAAGAAGATTGTTCTGAGGTCCCTACCTGTGCCCAAGTGTCCCTGTGTAGATTTTCCAACCCCCAAGCTCACCAGTTGCTTAGTCAGCTGGCTTAAAATGCAGATTTCTAGACTCTACCTCAAAGGCTCAGATTGGTAGGCCCTGGCACGATAGGTCAGTTGATTAGAGCAGTGTCCTGATACACCAAGGTTGCAGATTCCATCCCCTGTCTGGGCACATAAGAAAAAAAAAGAAGACTCGGATTGGTGAGGGGTGGGGCCCATGAATCTGAACTTTTACCAAGCACCCAGGTGCTTGTCATACATGTGGACTGGGGGCCACTCTTGTGAAACATGAATTTAGATTGACTCCAACCTGAGGTCCAAGGTTGCTGGCGATGCAGCGTCCAGCCCCTTAACTGCACTCAGTGCCCGTGTAGCCTCACAGTTTCCTTCTCAAGGACCCTCAGGGCAGTGCCCCTCACACCTGTTCCTTACAACCCATAGTTTCCCTTGGCCCAGGGCCCACCTCCTGGGTGCGCCTCCACCTCCCCTGGGCCCCTGGCTAGATGAGGGCAGTCCCTGTTGGCTGGAAGTCAAACAGAATAGGGCTCAATTCAGAAGTAAGACAGAGTCAAGGCCTTCCCCAATGCTCCAGCCAGTCTGTAGGTCCCTAAGGACCCCCAACCACATACCCTCACTGAGGTCCTGGGAAGACAGTCCAGCCCAGGCCTCCCGAATGGTCCACATAAGGGTGAGGTGGGGAGTCCTGGGATCTGTGCATGGTGACTGCCACCACCAGCAGTGTGTGGATTTCCAAGCATGTGTCCATGGCACCCCTGCCAGAGTCCCTGAGTGAGTTTTTGTCACAACACTAGCACCTGGCAAGGCAGGGGTGGAAGTGTCAGGAAATCTGCCTACAACTCCATGCTGCTCTCAGAGAAGCCCCTCTTCTCCACTGGGCCTCAGTTTCCCCATCTGTTTGGTGGGGAGGTAAGTCTGGTGGCAGTGCCCTGGTTAGGAGCAGAAGTTGCTGGGAAATCTTCCACCAGCTGTGACTGGAATGAGTCCCTCTGCCTTTGTTCATTCTCCTCCATATCCTGCCTTTATCCTGCACAGACAGACGTGGAACCCAGGACAGCCCCCGGGGAAGGCAAAAGAACCACTTGGGTGTTCGAGGAGGGGCCAGGATTGGGGCAGTAGGGAATCTTGGTCCCTATAGATCTCTAAGCCCCACAGTGACGACAATAGCTACCACACATTATGTCCCGCTGCCCACTAGGTTCTTTTCATATATTTGTGATTTCAAGCCCTCGTTATCACCCTATGAGGAAAGTATGGTTATCCTCACCTCACAGGCGGGCAACACAGCAGAGTGGTAACGAACAGGACTCTGGAACCAGACTGCCTGGGTTTACATCTTGGTTACAGCTCTTACAAGCTGTGGAATTTGGGGCAGGCGACTTCGCCTTTTCTGTGCCTCAGCATCTTCATCTGTAAATGGAGAAAATAATTGTACCTATTTCATCAACTTGTTATAATGATTACATGAATGAATGCACACAATGTTTCAAACAGTGCCTAGCACAAGCAAACATCTAATAATAATAGCTATTGTTTTTACAAAAGAGGAGAATTTGTGTTGGAGAAAGGAAATGACTTTCCCAAGGTCACTTGGCTTGTAAGTGGCTGAGCTGGGTGTGTCTAACTACCTAGCCCCTAGGTCTCCCTGCCCAGGGCCTCAGAAATAAAAGAAGCTCCAGGGATGCTGACTCCTTTTCAGAACTCTGGCTACTGGGGTACAGGGCTCGGGCTGATTTCAACAGCCCTGCCCTACCCCGCCCTACCCCGCCCAAGGGCTGGAGCCTGGAGGCAGGCCCTTTCTTTCCACTGAGCAACTGGAAGAACTGGCCTTCAAGTCTTGCTAGGGGCTGGGAGGGTGAACAAGGGGGCATTGAGCCTGGTGGGGCCTTACAATGGCCACTCTGTCCCAGCTGGCCGGGGGCTGGGCCCATTTCCGACGGGGACAATAGTCAAAAGGCAGTGACGCTGGCAGGGCCTGGAATCCCAGGCAGGATTTTCCAAGGCCTCAAAGCCTACTGTTTGTCCTCACATGGAGACCCAGGAAGCCTGCCTCCCTGCCTCCCTGCATCCCACCCACGCTGGGCCCTGTGCCCAGAGGCCCTGGCCCTAAGGTGCCACTGTGACTAGGGAAGGGAGTGGCTTTGAGGTCTAGGGTCTGAGTGGGCACTCTACACCCCAGGGGGCTGTGCCTAATGGCCTTTCCCTGGGGTCTGGGATGGAAGATGCTGCCCCACACCTGGGCTCCAGCCACCTGGACTTGGTTATGGAGGGAGGTGGCGAGGGTGAGCCTCAAGGAGGCTGAGAAGCTTCTGAAGGTCATGGGCAACCTGACCTCAACACTGTACTTGAGGTCAGCTCTGAGTGTCCAGCGTGCTTGGCTGTGTGGCAGCCAGCTCTGTGGCTAGAGGGAAGCCTGCGAGAGAGCCTGGCGGAGGTGGGAGGTCTGTGTGTGGTGAGCAGACAGTCAGCAGGTTGCCAGTGATATCTGTTCATGGTCATGAGGCAGCTGTGCGTTGAGGGCAGTGCTAGGCACCCTCATGTGAAGCTGGGCCTGGGGATTCCCAGAAAGTTATAGGTGAAATCTGGACAAGCCCCAGTGCCCATCTAGTCCCTGGCTGCGGCAGAGACCCCGGCCACAGGGCTTTTTCAGAAACCGAGGCTGAAGGGGTGAGACTCTGTCCATCTGCCTCCGAGCCCCATCCAGGCCTGGCCCTGCAGCCCCAGCGCTCAGCCAGCAGCTGCTCTGTACCGCCCACCCCCCCCAGGAGCCAGAGCCCAGCCCCAACCTCTGTCTCCAGCCCTGCTCCAGGTTCAGGTTTCTGCCAGGCTCTACCTTGGCTCCACACGGGGTCTGTCTGGGTAAGGCCCAGGCTGGCTAGTGGGACTTTGAAACCTACGGCTCCCTGTGGTGAAGACAGGAAGTAGTACAGAGCTGAGTAAAAGCCCCCTCCATCCCCCACCCCCAATATCTCCTTCCCCTACAGCCAGAGACATTCTGAGGGCAGGGGGCACATTCCAGGGTCCCCAGGGGACTCAGAGCTGGCCTGAGGGCTATGGGGCCCTGGGGGCTCTGGCCTTGGCTTTTGCCTCTTGCTCCTGCTCTTCACCCCTGGGCCCATGCTCCAGTCTTCCTCCCCACAACCCTGGCTCCCCTTTGCTTCCTGCTGGGCCCTGACCCTGCCACTTGATGTCTCCTCAAGGTCTGACTCAGGAGCTGGCACTGTCCGGCCACTACCCAAGCATGGGACTGGGGGTGGCAGCTGGGCCAAGGAGCAGAGTG